CAAAAGAAGCACAAGCAACACACAATGTTATGTATGTGTTTGCTCGTGAGTGTTGAGAAACATTACAGAACATATTTGGTCGACAAGAGACTTCCCTTCGTACTTCATGTCTCCTGGCAAGCGGGCCTGGAAGTGCGGCAGGAGCTTGGACTTGTGCTGCACATGTGTCACAACGATGTCCGTAGGAATCTTGTAGCGATCTGTCAACCACTCTGGCACTGTGGTTGCCTTGCTCAAAAGGGCTCGGCTGTGTCGTGCAATCTGCTCGGTCTGCTGAGAATCACCAGGCCCAGCCCCATCGGCAGGCCCGGCCGAAGAGGATGCTGCTGCTCCACTGCTAGGTGCTGGATCTGCACCTGCATCTGCTGGAGCCGTGGGATCAACCGGCTCGCCCTCGCGAATTTCCTCCATTGCTCACAGCAGCATGTTGGTGTCTTTACTCTTATGCAGGCAGCTTGATTTTTAGTGTCATTCGTTGGCCTTGCCAACGAATGCCTACTTCAATTCATCAGATTTAGATAGTCAGTCTGATGCGAAACATGTTTTCATTCATCTCACGGTCCTCGTCATCAACTTCAATTTCGGCCAGCATCTGCCGAGCCAGTGCAACTGCGGGATCTTGCATGAGCCAGCCATCATCTGCTGCCTGACACAGGTGCGGCTCTCTGGCCCTTATTCGGCCACTGAGTATTTCGGAAATTATGAGTTTATTCTTGGCAATTATTTCAACATGCTCTTGCACCTCTTGCTCATCTTCTTCCTCTCCATCCTCATTCTCTTGCGAACTCTTTCGCCTGCGCTTCTTGTCATGCTCGGTCAAAGAGGCCTCGAGCTCCTCGAGCTCCTGCTCGCTGCAGAAGTCTTTGACCTCTGGAAGGGCCATGAGGCCTCGAATCTTTGCACTTTTGGAACTGGTTTTCCTCATTCGAAGCCCATATGCTTCAAGCATTCTTGTAAGCCCATCGGAGTTAACCTTCATGATGCCCCGGTCTCTGCAAAGACCAGCCAGCAGGGAGTGAGGATCTTTGCTTCTGCGAAAGAGAAGACACGTCGGAAGTTGGGCAGCCAAGGTGCCCTGAATCCAATGCATTGTGAAGTCGAAGAGCTCCACCTGCCAGCGAAGCTTTGAAATAACTTCGCCCGAACACTCACCCAGAGAATAAGCAACAGTGTTTGGTTTGTCATTGTGCCTTGCTCATCTCCACGAGCAACTCCTTCACAAAGGGCCTAAAGTTTTCAGGAAGGGCAGGAACTCTGTCTGTAAACGTTTTGTTTGCAAACTTAATACGGAGCGACATTGAGTTGCAAGCCTAGCAACTTTGCTGTGTTGATTGTCAAAGCATTCACTGTCTCTCCATGCTTGAGCGAGTCCCGAATCTTCTTGTACTCGTTGTTGTTCTGGATTCTCGTTTCGTCGTGCGCCACGGTTGGCAACGGTCCCCTGAACTGCCTGTGGACTTCATTCAGCTCAACTGCCTTAGTCGACCAACACAGACACCAAAATACATGGACAGTTGAAGCAGCAAGTCCAGGATTGGATGGACTGTTCTCTCTCTCTCTCTCTCTCTCTATCTCTCTTTTGTTTTTCTCTCTCAGAGTCTCTCTCTCACTCTCTCTCTCTCTCTCTCTCTCTCTCTCCCCTCCCCGTGTCTTGCATGTTTGCTACTTTGCGAAGCAACGTCTAATCTTGAAAGCCAGGAGCATACACAAGGGCTGGCGTCTTCCCCACAGCCAGGTACCACTTCTGCTCCACTCGCAACAGCATGCCCGGTTGAATCAATCCAGCCACCCAGAAATTATTGTAGCACTGGTGGAGGTCCAGCTCTTTCCTCGGGTTAAAACAACTGTTTATTTATGCCGTCTGAGACTTCAAACAGCAGAACCAAATGCAGAAGAGCATCGTTTTTGCCTGCACAAAGGCACGGAGATAGTTCAGGTTGACCTTGTTGTGGTAGAAGAGCGACGTGCTTCCAAATGGTTTCAAGATATCGTCCAGACGAAGAACGGAGCCTGGGAAGGCGACAGTTTGTTGCAAACGAACAGTTTGTTGAAACCCCCCAGCCTGCTCATACGGACAAATTAAAATATTAAGGAATTCTCTCTGTCTATCTCTCTTTGTCTTTTCTTACATCTTTACTTATATCCATGCTCACGACGAACAACTCCTTTGTTCGGAAAGCAGAGGATCTGCTCTGGAACGACTCCGGCTTGAACACCCCTGGTCGAATGTTTCGAATCTCGCTGCCCTCAAAATCCTGCGGCTCGAGCACCACCCCGTTTGGGCTGCTATCTCCCTGGCAAAGTTTCCGATGCACAGCTCGGATGGCACAGCGTTGGATGTTCGGCAAGCTCGGGTTGTTGCTCTTCATGGAACGTTTGACGATATCTTCCAAAGAGTTGAAAACACCCTCTATGTTGGCGGAGTGCGACACTTTCGGGTGCCAGGCCAGTATCATGCTCTCGACGGTCTCGTTCATCTCCCACTTGTTTTGCTCCATGAAAGTCAGCGGCTCTCTGACACAGTGGTATCGTGTGTGGGGGCAAAGCTGCTTCAGCAACGGGTTCAGGGTTGCATCGGCCTCCATTTGCAAGATGGTTTCCCATTCTGTCTTGCACTCTTGCATAACCCTTTTCTGCACCTCACGTTCCTCGTTCCCAGCCTCGCCTTCAGTCTTGACTGCCAGCAGTGCCATCTTTGCCGGGCACGATCGAAGGTACAAAGCATACATGCTCAGCTCAAAGACAGAAGCCATCCAGGCCGACATGTAGTCTTGAAGCAGCTCTGCGTCGCTCTGGGACAGGGCAGTCGTGATGTGCAGTACCTGAATATCCAGCACATGTGTTTCTGTAGGGGAGTGGTTGCTCTTACACACAAGGCTTCCCACAGCCAGTAGTTTCAATAAGCCCGATGTTTTCAAACTGAGCGAGTAGTTTGTGTAAATTGAAGTGAACAAACTCTGTATATTTATTGGCAGGAACTTTGCCAGTAGCGAAAGCAGAGTGCTCTTACATATTACAAGGCTGTGCAGTGTTGCTGGCCAATGCCAGCAAGTAGCTTTTAGTTGAAGTAAGCACACCAAATCAGGGCAAAACACTTCAGATAATTGTGACCACAGCCAGTAGAGTTGCAGGCATCTATGCTGCCAGTAGGATTAACTATCATTATTAGCTATTGTAGATAGTTAGACATTAGAGGCAGATAGATTGCCAGTAGGCGGACTTCGGGACCAGGCCGGTAACACAGAGCTAAGGAACTAAAGTCTTCCTTGTGAAAGGGCAGACGGCACATGCTAGGTGGGAGACTCCAACTATATATTCTGGACTGGGTTCGAGTAGAAATTAGTCCGTTGGTTTTGGCAAACCCCTTTGCCTCGAATCGAAGTTTCATTTTCGTTCAGCCGGAGGGTAGCTGTGACTGCTAGAAGCAGCTAATTCATGAATTGGCAAGCAAAGGGGTCCTGGCCATGCCAGGCAAGAAGCGAATTGGCAGCTACCGTTGAATTTGCGGTAAGCGAAAGCTTTGCACGACTCAGCTCCTCGGTGCATAAGAATCTGGGTTGGTCTGCACAAACACCGGGTCAGTCATCATCTGGTACAGGGTCCTGATCTTGTTTCGCCATTTTCCAGCTTCAGCCTCGTACTTCCTCTTCGATACGATGCACAGGCAAGAAGGCGTGCGTGGTGGGGAGATATCGCGGGAAACTGCCTGGCTGTACTTCTTCAGGTTTGCAGAAACATAGCGGTACTCCATCCTTTCTTTGTACATGCTGACAAACTGAGCCCGTTTGGGCGTGCACAGTGGTAGGTCAACTGCCACGGGTGTCTTGGATTCTTCCATGGCTCCAAGTCAAGATACGACCTGCTAGCGACACCTGCGAGCCCAGATCCTATAAATAAACAAAAACAAAGAACCAATCGCTGGCAGTTATCCTTCTGCGAAACGAAGCAAGGTCACAACTTAGCAAGACGTGGCAACAAAGATGCAGCCAGGTCTCCAGGCATTCCGGGGCCGGAGATGGAAGAATAGAATCACGGGGCACTCTCAAGCGTTTCATGCCGCCGGCACTGAAGGCGTCCACTGTCATTGAACGAAGATCATCGTCGAAGCCGGGGCCATTAACGAACAGCACATGTTTGTGCAGAGACATCAGCTCGGAGACCGATCGTTGCTTAGTTGGCACGAAAGCATGATTGATGGTGATGCTTCTGAAACTGACACACACAAACACACACCCACACACCCACCCACACCCACCCACCCACCCACCCACCCACCCACCCACCACCACCCCCCCCTCCCCCCCCCCCAACCACACAAACACACACACACACCCACACACACACACAGAGCCACCCACACACCCACACACACACACCCACACACCCACACCCACACCCACACACACACCCCCACACACACACACACACCCACACAGACACACACTGACTCACATCCCACCACAACACAAGACTCAGAACCTTGATATCAGACCCAAGTCTGCTTTCATTGCATGCAAGCAGCAAGGCTGAGCGTCATGCTGCAGAAAGGACTGCACAAGGGCTTCACGGCATCATAGAGGGCGTGCGAGTGTTCGTCGAGCAATGCCTGAGTGCACTGGTTAGGTGCTGTTCTCATACCCAGACACAGCCATGCACAGCAACTGACAGACCGAGTGTCTTTCATGCACAACTGCATCACTCGATCATATTGGGAGGATCTGTCGGCGTTGCTCCCTTCCACAAAGGGATTTCTTCCCTCCTTGTATTCTCTTTCATGACTCAGCTGATAGAGACAGTGACCACTACTACACCACACAAGCATTTTTAATTGAGTCAAAGTTCTTCCATTGCTGACCACAGGATGCCCAGCAACGTGCCCGTGTACTGAAAGGAACGGGCAGTCAGTGCCCAGCTGCACCACCTCTTGTACTCGTGTAGCGTCCCGGTCTTCCTGTTTTCCGGTGCACATTGACATTTTGTGCTGTCTCTGTTGTCTTGTTTCAGCCAGGATGCTTGTAGACGTTGTTCAGAATCTCCAGCACATGTTGGAAATTCTGCTGTGCATCGTCAGTGAAGGGGATGTCATTCCTTGGTTCGTTGGATCACACAGACACAATAGCAACCTGTCAGGGATCGTGCTTGCATTGCGTGCTAGCAATATACCCAAGGCACTCTGCCAGGATCAGTTCTGCGTAGAGTTGCTGAAGAAGGTCATCGGCATGTGCCTGCAAAACGACAAAGTTCCAACTGGGCAGGTTGACTCTATTAGTCTCTTCATCTTGCATTGCCAGTCTAATGTCCCTGCGAAGGAAGGTGCAGGCAGTGGGTTGCTGTCCTAGAGCTTTCCTGGCCCAGATACGATATTCATATATCGACCCAAGGCGTCGCGAAGGGAGGAATCAAGCTTGTGTGTGTTCCATGGGCACTTTCTGGCCCTCATTGCCCAAGCCGTGAGCTCTTGCATTCCTTAATTTGCAATGAGAGAACAACAATTCACATGCCCCAGCGATTCTCATCCAAGAATCTGCGAACGGCCTTGCTGCTTGACATGACCCTCCCAAAATGGGCATGGATTTTGTGCCTTACTTGTTCGAAACTGCATGAAGACATTTGTGACTGAATTGAAAGACTGCGTGCGAGCTGCAACTCATCACGGCAGAAGCCGATGGGCAACTGGTTCTTTGCACAGAACTGCCAGGCTGTGTACAACGGGCCTCCCTCGTCGGGGCTTAGGATTATCCTCTTGTACTTGTCTTCTTCTGAGACCGATACCCATCTTGCGATTCCGGTTCGGGTGTCAGCGATGAAAGGGCGGCTGTCGTAGGTCTCCCTCGTCTCGTGTTCGGGCGTCACGGCATCCAGCTGGACCGAGGGCTTGTCCACTGCAAACTCGCACAACTCCAGCACATGCAAGACAGCTCGGAGTTGATCCTTTGATGCAAGACGTTGCTGCCTGATTCTGGCCAGCGTCTTTGGCCTTGGCTTTAAAAATTCATGTGCAGGAGCAGAAAAAGACAGAACAGCCGAATACTCCCTCTAATGTGTGTAAGACCAGCTGCATTTTGGCAGTGACCTTGGCAAGACTCTCCTTCTCCACCATGCTGGCAGACACCTTGTCAGCCAGCTTCTGCAGTTCCTCTTGCTTCACGTCAGAGGACTCAGTGCTGGCCAGAAGATCTGGCATCTTCTGGAGCACCCAGCAGATAGCCGTTTCATCCACTGTCAGGATTGGTGCGAACAACTTAGTTGCACTAAATGATATTCAAGTGAGTGACAGTGACGGGGCTGAGCACAAGCACGTGTTTGCAGTGAAGACACATCCATGCGGGCTTTTGGCGAACAGTCGCACAAGATGTTGATGCTCTTGAAGGTCTGCTTCTCTAACACCTACACAAACCCAGTTGGACTGCAACACCAGCAACTGCAAATGCAGAACCCGTCCTGGTGCATCGTTGTGCTCGCCTTCCGGCAGTATCTGACCATGAAATCCGAGGAAAGCCTGGGAAGTCAAAAAAGCATGGCGACAATGTCTGGCGTTCGTCCCTTTGTGCGACCTCTTACACTGCTAATTAATTGCAACTGAATCTCCGATGCGTTTGGGAAGGACAGATGTCCTTCAGCCCGAGTTCGTCCAAATTCTGATCTTGTGACTTCGAGGTTGCCAAGCCGGAAGCTTTGGCGAACCATCTCTGCAAGCTGAGCACATGCTTCGGTTTCGCCTCCTTCTTGAGGCTGCGACCATCCCTGAACCAGTCAGGGGTTCAGGGTCTAGCAGGAACATGCTTCTTTGTTGGCATTGAGCAGACAGCAGCAGTACCATGGAAGTCCAACCAGGCCTCCTCACAGGATGGAAGTCGTCAAGTGCGGTCGGGGGCGGCATTTCCTGCGTCACTCT